GGATGGATGTCTCGGTTTCAACATCTATGTTGAGCGCGACCCTTCGGCAAACCCAGGACCTGAATGCCGAGACCCCGAAGCTGTTGCCAACATCAAGTGCTCGTTCTGGGGCGGACCAGTCTACACCGATACTGCCAACAACAACGGCCAGTGGCGAGAACAGTTTGAAGTCGCCATCGCTGGAAGCAACGGCTACTCGTCTCTCACGACACAGTCTGCTGAGGGCTACAAGCAGGTCGAGCTCAAGAACAGTGCGATCAACTCGCCTCTCGACTGCAACAAGCAAGGCTCTTACATGGGCTACAAGCTCTTCGTCCAGCCCGCATTCGATGCCAAGCTCTGTGCAGCTGCCTGCCAGGAGCAGAACAAGTGGGCAACTGAACACCCACCTGCCGATGGCAAGCCGCAGCTGTGCCGCTACTTCAACACCTACATTCTGCTCAAGAACGGTGTCTCGCAGGGTCAATACTGCTCCATGTACACTCAGGAGTGGGATGCTTCCTTCGCAACGAACGATGGACAATACCGCGGCGACGACCATTACACTATCCAGTACAGCTTTGGTTTCACGGATAAGAGCGATGATGGAGTACCTGTCTGCCCCAGCGACATCTCATACCTCAAGTCAAGTGGCGATGACTTCTGCGGCAGCTACATTGGCTACTCCCAGCCGACTACAACTGCGACCGCTACCGCTACCATCACACCACCTCCCCAGACTGCTACAATCACAAGGACTGTGACAAGCACGTCCACCTCTGGAATCGCCATCGTTACTGCCGCCAAGTTCAACGGTAGACACGCCAGACGTGCGGATAACAGCACCGAAGTGACCAACGACGTCGTTGTCGACCCTTACGAAATTGCAATCGTGGCCGTCAAGACTCTCTCGCACGAGGACGACGCAAGTATCCCGAAACTCAACGATACCATGGCAGCAGAGCTCAACAGGGGAGTTGAGAGGCGTGGCCTCGCAACACCAGCGTCTATCGCAGCCTGGCCTACCAGCAAGATCTCAGCAGCTTGCTCTCAGGTCGCCACCGGCACCGTCACGACCACTCAAACCATTACTACTACTGCCGCGACCTCATTCGCGACCGAGACGAAGGACTTCCAGACCGTCGTTGTCGTCCAAAGCACCTGCAACGTTCCCGCGCCCAGACCAACAGCCCCTTCATACACCAGGATCGCAGGTGGCGACCCATCAGAGGGCGTGCCCATGGTACCCGGTCCCGCAGACCGCCCCTACTTCAACGAGTACTTCACCCTCAACTTGCCTTTCGCCGTCAAGATCTTCCAAACCTCCTCCACGCAGATCGGCATCACTACCGGGGGTGTCATCACAGTGGGAGATTACGTGTTCAATGCTTTCGCGGAGCAATTCTACATCTACGGAGGCTGGAGACACGGTATGTTCTACCGTGTCGATGGCGACATTGGCGCTCGCAAGATCCACTTCTCCTGGTTTGCGGGTACTATTATGTGGGGTCATGAGCGCTTCCACGTTACGGCCATGTTCGACGAGGCTAAGCCTGGTATTCTCACCACCAAGGTCTTCGACACTGTGGGCCAGATTGATCACAGACGCACCATCTCTGTTGAGGGTGCCGGCAAGAATGTCGTTTTTGCCCAGTCGGGATCGACCAACGTCCATGAAGGCCAGGAGATTACCTTCGATACTACCGGTGCCGGAAGTGTATCTGCCAGAGACTTCGATCGCATTGACTGCTGCACCAAGACTGGGTGGGAGTGGCATGTGTGCTCTGAGGTCTAATCAACTTACCTCAACCGTCGACTGCTCCTTCGAGCTTCATATTCCCTTTTCAACATCCTATCACACACTGAAACCCAGTATCTCATACATGATCTAGTAATCTAATGTAATGTAATCACATTTCGAGCGTTTCTGCACTAAATTCACCATCGTGAATCACCCAACATGAGTCCTCAAAGCGAATGTCATTTCATACTATCGTCAGCATTTCGGTCTCAAACGTTTCCCCCTCGCCATTCATAGCTCCATGCAGATACGTATCACCGACGAGAGCGTAACCTTCACCACGTGTTCTTAACACATACGGAATTCTGCACCCTGCGAAGAAGCCAACACTATCTCCTACCCTTGCCGCGACCGGTATTAACCCCATCAATCCCATTTTAGTGATGGCAAACTGTCGCCCCTGCATACTCGTGATATGCGTATGCTCGAAATCTTTTTGACCGGCTTGTATTCGATCGCAGTGACGACGCCACATCGACATCCAAGCGGCGTTGCACAAAATACCAAAGAGAGGAGCAGCGAGCGGGATAGCGTAACGCAAGAACTTGTTCTTCCTCCGGAAGCAATATGCCAAAGCTGAAGAGAACGCTGTAGCGATACCCAAGACCCAGCCCGCCAATTTACGTTGGTTCTTGAGTGTAAAGTTTCGGAGCATAAGATGGGCGATAAATGGTTGAATGCCGTAATCCTGATCATCAGGGGGTTCAGATCCGTTTGGGTAAGTGCGATTGCAGCATAGGGTGCGCCAGAACGCATCGTAATGGGAATCGCCGGTAGGTTGGTAGATGCCGTCATCATCAAGGATGTCTAGTCGTTGCGTTTTCAGTAGTGCTTGCACACGCACAACCCAGGCGGTATAAGCAGCTATGTTTTGTAGGTCGTCGGCGCCGGCTTGCCGCATTTCGACTTCGCGCAACAACGTCGGGAACGGAGCCGTGTGGGTGATCGTGTCGAAAACAGCACCGCGGATACGGAGAAACTATTGGATAGGTCAGTCAGGGAGAGGCTTGCATCTTAAGTGAATCTCACCTTCTTCCCGCATTCCTCCGACAGCTGAAGCTCTGGCTTTCGTTCAATGTGCGGCTCTCTCGAGGGATAAAACGTCATCATAGACGTGTACGTGGACTGGAAGTTCTGTGGCCTAAAAACATCAACCACCCAGCTTGCCTCTGCGATTTCGTCGTCTTCGTCTCGTGTGATTAAAGACCAGACATCCAAAACACTACCCATGGTGGGCTCGATCCTGCCTTCTAGGAGCATGAGATTCAGGTCCCTCATCACGTCCCCGTAACTTTTGGAGTAGTCCACAAAGCTCTCGTCGGTGTCGCTTGTTAGACTCACTAGCGCAAATACCTTGTCTCGCCGATCCGCCGCATCAAACCAGCGGGTATTTATGAGAAGGTACAGGGTACCACTCTCTGCATTCTCGCGTGCGTTTTTCATCCAGAACAAAGCACTTGCGCATGACAGCCTAAAACTGGCTGCCCGTCGCTCATTTTTATCTTTGATTGGCTTCATAGAATTTTGGGTTCTATACACAAAATTTGTCATGTGCGACCATCGCGCGATTGCTTCGAGGACCGGGAAATCTTCATCCGCCGTAGTGGGACCACACCAGATTGACACATGGCGGGCGAGCAAAAGCTCCTGAACACTGCGGAGACGTCAGTAAGACCTGAGACCATACGCAGGCTCGAAAAAGCTTATGTAATACATACATCCATATACGGCTAAACCACGGTCGCAGAAGAAATTCAGCCAATGCGTCGAAACATTTCTGTGCCACTAAATATGCATCCCTATCAAAGTTATCGTACTCATCTAGATCCCCGTCTTCACGGTAGTTATGGATCACTCTCAGGAACTCCAGCGCCTGCTCATCGGTCGCTTGCGCTTCGCCCAACCATACGACCACACACTCCGCTTCGGTGTAGATTCTGTCCATCATGCGAACCTGAGACGTCCGTTCTGAGGTGTTGAATTGGTTGATACATATTGCATCAACCCAGAGAAGTGCTCGAGTTCCTCTGCGGCGGTACTCGCGCAAGGCGGAATGGAGGTTTGGTGTTACTTGGAGAGGATGGGAGTTGCATGTTATCTGAACGGGATTTTGATTAGGGCCCCAGCAGTATGATAGAGCGAGATAAGGGGTTGGATTCGTGTCCAGACATGTTTCCGATAATGTGCATCGTAGTGGGGCCGATGATTCGTCCGGCTCGACAGTGAGCAGGCGGATAGTTCGTCCTGTAAGTTCATGGGGGTAGATTACTGAGTTAGCCATCACCAAGTAATGGTGTTTGCCACCTAGGTGAGATCACTGGAGTAGTACGAGAAGATGAATAAGGTGAGAAGTTGTCGACGGGCCGAGGCTGGGTGGCATGCCTGTCTAGACCTCCCTCGCTCAGCCCTGCAAGACCTGGCGGCCTAATACGAGGTCGCCCCATAGGTGGAAGGGGTGGTGAGCTAAAGATCTCATATGGAGCCGCAGTTCGAAAATCATCTCGGCACGAGACTTAACATGTATTGCAGGGAAGTGCATCAGTTGTTTTGAGAGTGAAGAGATGAAGAGTGATGGCAGGAGCTCCTGTCGGATGGCGAAAGAGCCCTGGAGCGAGAGACTGCCGGCGCTAGTCTTTATACGCACTAGCATCATTCCGTCTAGCGCCATCCCTCACTCAGTCCATCGGCTTCGCGCAATAAACCTCCTCAGGTGTTATCACGGCCAGGTACGTCGTGAAGATAATTAGTCCACCCACAAACTCAGCTTCGCACCAATAACCTAAGACCTGCATATCACCCGCACTTTGTAGGACAAATCCATTTATACCCGGCTCCATGGTATCACCCGCCACAAAGCTTGCGACCTGTCCCATCACAGCACCTGTTGAACCACTTAGTGAGTTCCACCAAAACGGCTACAGGAATTGGTACCTCGATACGTACCTATCAACCACAACAATGCTATGATTAGGCACAGCAAGGGGTATACGCACCAAATGCTAGTGATCGTGAGAGGTAGGACGGTTTCGTGATTGGGATGATGTACAACGCAGAATCAGGGGGTTTGTGCAATGTGATGATGACAGGTGTAGTGTACATAAAGGCGTGACTGGGCTGTAAATATGGTACTTCTTTCTTGTTCACCTGCAAACATATACATTCCCACGATTTCACAGCCCAAACCACAGTAATCCCAAGACATACAACACCAAACAGCATCATGCGTTTCTCCACTATCGTCCTCCCAGCTCTTGCTGGCTTCGCGCTCGCAGCGGAAACGTGAGTAACTCCCCATGCATACACTGCCTCCTAGTCTTACCGGACCGCAAAAGTACTAACATCCCACCCTCAGCAACCCCGCCGCCTCCGCATCATCCGCCCTATCATCCGCCGCCTCATCAGCCGCCTCATCAATGGCATCCTCCATGTCATCCGAGGCCACAAAGACAGAGGCGAAGACTACCGCTACTGAAGCGAAGTCGACTGACGCGACATCAACTGGCGCGGCTGTTGCTATCGGTGCTGGAGAAGCTGGAGGCGTCGTGGTCGCTGCTTTGGGAATTGCTGCTTTGATGTTCTAGGTTTCAACGTGCACGAAGGGAGGCTGGGATGAATGGGGGTAACGAGGACAGTGGGGTGTTAGATGAAGCTAGCAGTAGTGTACAACAGAAGTAGGATGAGAGTTGTGGGAAAGAAGTCTGAATTGAACAATCATTGATTCATAACCAATGTCTAAGCACCGTGTGCAAATATCTTACAAACCCATTCCTGATTCAGTCCATGCATATGCTATCCATGTCTTCATTCCATGCGCTTCTCTGCCATTACTCCTCCTCCCTCATATTGTCCTCCATTTATAAGATAGCAATCCTCCTAACCTGCACCACCTGCGCCCTAGGCACAGTGACCTTGAGCGCACCATCCTTGAAGCTAGCGCTTACATTAGCGACATCGATGCGTTCCGGGAACCTGAAAGTGCGCTCGAAAGATCCGTGGACGCGTTCTTGTTGCTGAGGCTGCTCTTGGGGTTGTTGCTGAGGTTGCTGAACCGGTACCTCGGGTTGTGGCTGGGTTACCACAGCTGTCTCGGTATTCTTAGGCTCGTCGACGGCCTTCTCCTTGCCCTTGGGCTCGCGAGGCTCGGTGGGAGATGAAGGTCGAGAAGAAGGGAAGTCGGCGGCGAGGTCTTCGAAGTCGTCCTCGACGGTAGGTTGGTATGACTTATGCGATGAGGTGTCGCTGTCGGGTGTAGCGGCGCGAGTGGTTGGTGCCTCGGTCTCGGTGGTGGTGTCGACTTCTGGCTCCGACTGTGTAGCGGCAGGCTGCTCAATGCTAGCGGTAGGTGTGGGTTGGGCCTCGATCTGAGGTAGCTGTGGCTGAGATTGAGACTTCTCCGACTGCCACTGGGTGTTACCAGCAATCTTCAGTGTGTGCTCATCGATGACCTCAATGTTGACGTTGTCCTGTTCGAAGCCCTGGATGTCTCCATCCACCTGCCATCCCTGCTCGATCTGGTTGACTTGGAAGTCGGCTCGAAGTGCGCGCTTGCGCTGCAGCTGTCGCTGGCGGTAAGCTTCGCGTAGTGCCTCTCGGTGGGCCTCGATCTGAGCCTTGCGCTGTGCTTCGCGCTGTGCTTCGCGGTCGATCTCGCTCAGGAGCTCATCGACCTGGCTGAAGAAGTTGTTGTAGGGCGAGTATTGTGGGCGGCGAGGCTGAGGACGGGAGACGCGGTAGCCGTGGGCGGGTCGTGATACCGGGGCGCAGAAGCCGAAGGGGTTGCACTGCTGTGCCTCGTAGGCGGGTGCCATTCGTGGAGTGAGGATGAACGCCATTGCTGGGGTACTTTGTTCGAGGTGCGAAGCTTGTTGCTCGATGAAGAGAATAGTGTAGAGTAGTGAAGCTCAAGAGTAGCTGTAGATCGTAGATCTGTAGATGTGTTTGTCTTTCGAATTGATGATGGGCTCTTGGAGAGCAGGAAGACATGGATTTATAGCCATTATGGAGGCGTCGCAAGCAGCAGCCGATTGCGTGCGCAGTGATGAGCAATGCAGATTCCGTAAGACAGAGGACGATGCTGGAAGAGTGTAGACGATGCGCGACGATTGGTGATGCTTCGAGGTTTGTCACGAAGACGCGTGAAGCTTCGCGATGTTTCTCGAAGCTTCTACGTCATCCGGCGGCTGGGATGGCTCGTGCCCCGCTTATGTAACCACACCCGTCCACCCTGCACCCGCCCTTTCCAGATTTACACTTGCAGCATGCCTCTACGAGAACACCGTTATGATGAACGAACGGTCGTGCAGATCTGAAGATGCGTCATATAATAGCAACGGAACTGGGGTCAGTTGAGACCCTGCATAGAAGACTTTGCCGATGTCCCTCATCATGACAGGGCGAGGAGCTCATATTACCAGTCCATCACTCCGGTCTCCAAGATTGGTCAATACAGTTGTTCTTCAATGCTTAAATTATGGTTTATCCAAATCTATATCTATCGCATCTTCCTCAGAACATCCCATCCGCTCATCTAAGCCTTATACCTAGCCGGCATAGCAGCCTTGAGCAGCTTAGGGAAGTTGGGTGTGCCGAGACCAGAAACCGGGTCCCATCCCGCAGTAGCGTTCCAGCTAGCATACGGAATAACTGGGCTACCGTTAGGCTTGCCGTTGAAACGGGCATGGCCATCGCACCCAGTGCTACCACCGAGAACGATGTCGTTGAGTGCATCGGGGTTAGAGTACAGCAGGGGGTTCAAGAAACCAAGAGCGGGCTTCTTGGCACGAAGGCGGGCGTCGTTGAGAAGAGCGACGATGCCACCGAAGGCGGGAGCCGAGCAGGAAGTTCCTTGGTAGCCCTTGAGGGAACCCTTGTCGTAGACGCGGTAACCTGGAGATCAGATCAGTATATGTCTTACATGCAGTGTGTACAGGAATGCCGCTTACCGAAACCCTGTGCCGAGACGTCGGGGAATCCACGTCCGTGACGGTTGAAGTAAGGCTTGTTCTTCTGGCCGAGCTGGTGGAAGTATGCCTTTACGGCATCGTCCTGGTACGAGGGGCGCTTCCAGTAGTCGGAGAAACCGCCGGAGGAGAAGAAAGTAGCAGTCTCGTTAAGGTAGCGAGTAGAGCCGACGGAGGTGACGAACGGGCACGCTGCAGGGTACTACGTAGAGGTACGAAGTCAGTATATGTCACATATGCACTCCGTACAGTCAGAACTTACCTGGGGCTGGAACTTAGTCGTGTTCTTGCCGTCGTTGGAAAGGCAGGCAGAGCCGGTACCAGAGTCACCGGAGGAGAAGATAACGGAGACACCACGGCTACCGAGCTGAGCGAAGAGGTTGCAGACGCTGAGAGCGTATGACTTGGGCACGCTCTGCTCGTTCTCGCCGTAGGAGGTGGAGATGACCTGGGGAAGGTCCTTCTGCTTAAGCTTGAGCACGCTCTGGAGGAACTCGAGGTAGGGCTCGTTGGCGCTGTCGGCCTCATCAGGCTGGTCGAGATCAGCGACCCATGGGCCGCGGCCACCGGTGCTGTACTCAGTGACAGGCAGAGGTTGAGCAAGACCGAGCATGTACTGCAAGTCCAGGTTGGCCTCGCCACTGTCGTCACTGGAGTTCTGGTCGTTCAGACCACCGTTGAACTGGACGACGGAGAAGTTCTGGCCAACGGCCTCGGGAAGAATGTTCTTCTCGAAGAGGGCGAGGTCGCTGTAGCGAGCGTACTCCTCGAGGTAGGATGCGAAAGCTGCCTTGCTGCCACTCTTGGGGTCGGGAGTGTAGTCGATCTTGTAGAGCTGCTTCAGGCACTGGGGAGTGATGGAAGCATCACAGTTGACAGTGATGTTGGGGGAAGAAGCGAGCTGGATACCGAAGATCTCACGCTCAGTCTCGTGGTTCGCGCGGATGGCAGCGAAGCGAGTAGTCGGCTGAACGAGGTTGATGTGGTCGGCAATCTCGTCAGGGACAGAGTACTCAAGGGTGCGGAGAACCTTGCGGGGTGTGCTCTCCTCGCTAACGAACCAAGAGAACTTCGTTCCGAGGAGCTCGTTGGCAACACCGACAGTGGTTCTGAAGGTCACCCAGTCGGCATCGGTCTCGAACTTCTCGATACCGGCAGACTTGAGCCACGAAGAGACGGACGAAACGGTCTCCTCGCTGGGCATAAGCATGCGCTTCATCTCCTCGTGCGACTCGTAGTGCTGGCCGTACTTGGGGTTTGAGGGTGTGGAGATGTCCATGACGGTCTGCTCAAAGCCCGCGGTATCGCCTTGCGTGAGCGCGATCTGGAGCTTGAGCGTGTGTGCATCAGATGCTGGGCCTTGAAGCTTCCATCCTGTTGATCATTAGCATAGCTCATGGCTCGATAGAATATGAAGCTCACCCTCAGGAACTTCGAAGAGCTTCTCAAACGGCTCGGCGAAAGCCCTAACAGCCAACAGCGAGCCAACGATGAATGAAAGCACAGGAGCCATCTTTGCCACGACCGGTTTCCTTGAGCGAAGGTAGTCCGAAGCGAATGCGGATGAAGAGACAACGAACAGCGGACTGCATTGTAGTTTTATACCGCACCCACGGTCGACCTCAGTCCCTGCATGATAGTCGTGTTATTACCGACCTACCCCATGGAGTTTAGATTACGATTGTCGCTCATGTCGTGGTGCGCATACGCGATGCGTTGAATGGAACCGACAGTGTCCAAGCAAGGGGCTAAGGAAGACAAGCCTCGGACTGGGGGTCTTGACAAGGCTTGTGTGCCGGATAACCTCCTTCTTGTTTTGGACGTGGCGTTGCGATAACATGACCGATGACCCCACATGGGTGGTTGTGACAGGTTGTGACGTGTGGATCCTGTTCTGTGCGCGCTCGTTAGCACCGGGCTAGGGCCGCCCATTTGGGTTGGCGTTATAACCGGACCACTGCCTCGGCCACAGTTCATGCAAGGCACATACGAGCACCTTCCGGTATCAATGTAGTATTGGTCTCTAGAGCATGTCACCTGCATTTGAGATCTTCCTAGATCGTTTGGTAATTGCGAGCAATCTGGGTTTCTATGATCTTCGCCGCCACCTGCATCCTGGAAGGAACCGTAGCTGAGATCGTCGCAAATGAGAGAAGTCGCAAGTATAATATACTGAGATCGTCGCAAATATCGGGCGGATAAACACCAGACTAATATTGCGAACGGCCCGCCTATGAGGACCGAACTCCCTGGGACATATATCAAGATATCAGTCGTTGCCTTTCATTGACTCCATCGTCACGTCCAGAGACTTGCCATTTTAAAGCCTCCAGCACATTGTACCGATGTGTATGCTGCCAATAAGCCACATGTGTGAGAAATAGCTTTGTTACCCAAGCTCCGCGAGACGCGTAGCATCCTCGTACCTGATTCTCAGTGTCCTCTACTCATAGGTCAGCTCGTGATTGTTCCAGCAGAGCTCGAAGCCGTTTGCGCGGAACCACTCGATACGAGTGGCTTCGAGTTCGAGTATAGCCTCCACTTGTTCCTCAGAGTAGTCAAGAAGGACCCTTTCGAGTGCCACCACAGTGACCTCAAGGTAGGGATATCCGCTTGAACGTCTTTGCCCACCGATGGTTCGCCTTAGCGTCTCTCGCAATCTATCTGGCAGGTGTTTATTCGGCTTGGGGTTCATTGTCAGTTTATAATGCAGATATGACAGCTTCTTGTTGATAAGCTCATGTCGCCGATGTTCGATCTCATCTACCGCGAGTTAGAATACTACATGTGTCTCAGAGCTACATCGCTAACTCACCTGACAAAGATTGGGGTATGGGAAGTCCCAAGGTGCGTAGTTTGCTCTCGTTGCAGTAAAAAGTCATTATCTCAACAACGAGAGCGAAACAATCTTTGCTCCCGAAGAGATAGAAAACCCAAAGCAGCAGTATCGACTCGCGGCAGTATTCACCCTCCATTTCATCACCATAGATTTTGTTCATCCAGACATCAGTGAAGAATTGCACCGCACTAGCGCAGTCGTAATAGTCGACGAGGATTCCAATTTTCGCCATTAGTTCGAGGCTCACGGACTTCGGGATCTGAGGGCTGCGCAAGTGTAGCATGTTCATGAAGAGGAGGAATGCTTCCTCCTCCCAATCGTCTGCTGTGATATGGTAACGACCGTCGGCCTGCTTGCATCCCTCACTCCAGGTACCAGGTGAGAGCGCTGCTTTGAAGACCGGTGACGCCAGTTTGAGATGGCGTGAGGAGACAAGGTAAAGGATAGATCCCTCAGGAACATTAAGGATTACCCAATCCGACTCCTTTGTGATGAACGCCCTCGCAGGCGACTGGTGAACTTCGATATCGTCCGAGATGGACATCTTCGTGTCCCATTCTTTCATGCTGAAGGGGAGTTGATCAAGTATGTCAAGGTTGTCGAACGGTGAATCATCCCACCAAGCGAAGTATTCGCCATCACCCGGTGATCGTAAGATTATGACTGTATCCGCGTCTGGGTCGATCTCATGTACAACTGGAGCCATACTCGGATGTTGTGGGTGAATTAGGTTGAGTGGTTGTGATTTAATGCTAAGCAGGAAGATCCGGTCGTATGACCCTGTAAGCCATTGTGCATACAATTAGTGAGGTCGCCCAGTGTTTTTCCTCTTCTTCCGATGAAACGCAAATGCACGGACAATTGTGAATGGAAAAAGTAGTAGTGCTGGGAACCTACTGCCCACCGAGACGGTTCAACACACATGGAGGGTGCATTGTCACTTTCATCAACACCAATCTTGCTCTACATGTGGTCGCGATAACGTCAGGTAGAACATGCGCTTTCGCGAGGTGGAGGTGTAGCATACCTAGGTACTGATCGCGTGTGAAAGGGTCACGGCGCGTGAGAGGCGCGAACCGCATGATGACACAGACGCCACTAAGAGCGCTCGCTTCCGTCATCGTATCGTATTGCGCGTAGTATCGTGTGATTGTCTGAAAAAGCAACGCGATGCTCGTGTCAATGCCCAGGTGAGGCTGGTGTTGAAGGCTGCGTGGTGTTTGGAGCTCGGAGCGCGATTCAGCTAAGTGGGGCCATGTCCAGAACAGCACTAGCGTGAAGCGCGTCCTCGATCTCGCCGCTGTGTGAGCAGCCCATCTGCTCCTTTCTTCCTTGACCCTCCCCATGCTGTTCACATCACCGTGCATGCCATTGCTACGACGAGCTGGGCTACAGCTAGACCAGCGCCTATGGCTCCTATCCTCGTCGCCCCTCGTCCATGCGCCGCCGTGTATCGTCTATTCAGTCTTTGGCCCATTTGATACGTAAGCGCGTCGCGTTCTTTCTCCAGCTGTTCTAACCTGAGCGACATGTAGCTTTGCGAGGTTTGCAGTGTATTTGCTGAAGAAAATCCTGCACTTGAGGCTTCGTAGCCGTCTTCGATTGAAGCGGTTTGGTCAGGACTTCTGACTTCCTGCTGACCGCGCTCGGTCTCCAATTGCCGCTCGATACGTTGCACGCTCGACATAATTGTTTCATCATCTCGTGCAAGATTCTTGTCCCACACCATGCGGATGTCGTTGAGGTCCACTTTCGTACGCTCAATGTCCTCGTCTACGGACCGCATACTCCCAGCCATCTCGGTAATCGCATCCTCAAGTTCGTGCAACTCGTCTCTCCGGGAATGATGAGCCATCTTGGTTAATCTGCCACGCGCCTCGTCTACTTTGGCTTGCAGTGTGTCGAACGATTCCGTCAAATGCTCTAACAACACTTGACCGGCCCTCGTCTCATGGATGAGCCGATGGCCATCTACCAACTCTCGCTGGAACGCCAGCGTTAGCCTTCGGCCTTTTCCCACAATGTGCTGAAGTATTTTCCCCGCATCTACCTCTACAGCTGATAGCCTGACTAGCTTACCGCCGTGTTGTACAACATCCTGGATCTTCCCGCGGAGTTCCTCGTGTCGCAATTCCGCCTTTACAAGTTCATCTGTGGTAGCTCTATCCCACATGGTAGTTGCCACAATGACTCCACAGAATGCTTCTTCCCCGCACATGCTCTTGAAGGCGTTCAGCGCCCGCACAGCAGAGCCTTGTAAACGGTTATTTGTAATGCAATGGAGGTAAATGATTCCGCTGAGTTTGATCTTTCTTTCGTAAGCGGCTGCTAACCAGTACGCCAGCTCCTGCAATGTTTCTCCATCGGATCGCCGACTGTCGTTGAAGCCAGGTGTGTCTATCAGATGAACAGTCTTTCCGAATACGCTAGTGGTGTGTATCGATACCTGGCTTGTACCTGTTCATTGGTATCAACGATCGGTCAGGCTTCAGGGACGCCGAAGAAGCCTACATGATGCGAGTTCATGTCCGGAAAGCTGTTCTAGAGAATTGGTACAATGCTCGATGAAGGTAGATTTGCCAGCACCAGTCATGCCCATCACTGCAATGAAAAGGTCATCGGGGCTGCCAGGCTGAGTCAGTTCTGCGTTTGGAGAACAGAGATTTACCCACTCAACAGGTTTCGAGCCTTCAAGATTCACGGATTCCATTGTGGAACGATGGGCGAATGTACCAAGTCGCAAATCAGTATGTTCAGTTGGGTCGGGATGTCATCCAGTGGTCACGTCGCGATAGCTTTGTTACGCCGCAACAACTCTCGGTGCGGCTAAAGACAATCCTGCGGCAAGGTTGTACAGCCCACCTTCCCGCCGTATGGAAACCACCAATCAGCAACGTACACGTCAAAGCTACACCACAATCGCTGTGCCGCAGGCAATCCTCAAGTACGCCTCTGCGCCTGGGTACGGTCCGTGCGCGATTCCGCCTGCAGGCCGCATGATAGCGTCAGCTAAGGTCAGCATCCCAGCTAGAGTGTGCAGCACTGTAGCCTGCCCGTCTTGGCAGCTTTGGATGCGCTTGCATCTACTGTCATCGCATTGCCTCATTGCAACACGACCTCCTATTACGAAGACCGCATCAGTGTAATGTGCGCAGTATGAGCGCTCTCAACATCTCGCCGACCAGAAGGGGAAGTCACGATGCGCTGGAGCCGATCCGCTCACATGGAAGTTCATCCAACATATTTCCTCCTACAGCTCTTACAGTTACGCGGTTCAACCAGAATGCGCCTTCTTCTCGGTATGAACTTAGCATCCATCCGGTTTCGTGGTCTGATCTGTCGCTAGAGCGATTGGCATCCTCGTTATGGGCCTCACTGGGGCTGGCAAAAGCACATTCATCTCGCGAGTCACACAGAAGAGTGCAGATATCGGGCATTCGCTAGAGTCATGTATGTTCGTCTTGAATGATGGGAATATCGACCTAATCATTTGAAGGTACCACTGATGTCGTATTCCAGACACTACAGCGAAACAACGGCCAAACAGTATATTTGATCGACACGCCAGGCTTTGACGACACTCATTTGGAATACGCAGCAGTGTTTCGAAAGATTGCTTCATTCATCTGTACCTACTGCGATGGCTATGGGCGCAGTATCCCAATCGGAGGAATGATCTATGTTCAGCGGATAACAGATATGAGAATGTCGGGGTCTTCACTCAAAAGCCTCCGGATATTCGAGAAGATTTGCGGCGAGCGACATTTTCAGGATGTTGTGGTTGTCACAACGATGTGGAACTCGCTGAAGACGAAGGAAGCGCATGATGCAGCAACGATGCGAGAAAAGATGATGTGTGAAAGACCCGAGTTCTTTGGAAATTTGATAAGAGGGGGAGCTAGGATGGAGCAATACCAAGGTGATACCTACGGTGGCATCCGGATTGTCGAACTATTAGCAGACAGATGGAGAAAACTCGTTCTGCAACTGCAGCGCGAGATGGGACGAGGCGTGGCTACGAAACTAGAAGACACGACAGCGGGAAGATACATCGACGGTGAACTGGCCAATGCCCGCGAGAAGTACGAGACACAAAAGCGGGAGCTAGAGGAGTGTGCAGAAGAGGCCGAGGACGATGATGATCTGAGAAGCGAATTCATCGAGCAAGCGGAAGACTGTACTCGCAACGTCAACAACATCATGACTGATCAAAGGAGTCTGTCCGTCACACTTGAAGACATGCGGAACGAGCAGGTGGCGTGGTGTAGCATAGGCCGCAACGATCAAGCGGAGGACACCGTGCATGAAAACAACTCCGCACGCATTTTCGAGCTTGAGCATGAGGTTCAAGGGTTGAAAAGAGTGATAGAAGAGCAGCGTGTAGAAGGTCGCCTTGCCCAACGTGGAGGTCTCGAAAGGATCGAAGCGGCCGGGCAAGAGATAGCAGAGGCTAAGGAACGAGATCAAGTGGTGCGCGAGAAAACAAAGGAAAGGCGGCCAAAGGAGGTCATTATGTGGATGCGAGATTTCTTCGCGCTAAGACCCGCTGGAGATATCATACCACCACCACGTCGAGCCGACTCCATGCCCATAGAGACAATGATCTCTAAGAAGACTGGTACAAGGGGCTGGAAGCGAAGTCGATCAAAAGGTCGTCGACCAGGTGTCAAGCGCACATCTTCGGATGATCACCCTAAACAGCCTCACACTACTTCGCAGTACCTCCAGGATCAACAGACCGATGAGCCTGGCTATCTTGATGAATCTGAGAGCGAGTCTGAGAGCGATATGGAGGACCCGGCGCCTCCGATGTATACGCCGCATCATCCCCACTCGTATACACCTGCGGCCCCATATGTACATGACAGTCGCTATCACGTCTCGCCTCATGATGTTTCTAGCGATCCTACTGGAATGTTGCGCGTTCCACCACCACAGCCTCAGCCTCTGATGCGAAGAATCCCACATTCCGCGGGCCCGCCGTATGGCCAGCATCTTCTCAGGGCTCCTTTACATAACAGCGGCCCACCAGGCGATTACAGTTACCGCGGATAGAGTAGACGGGTTCGATACAACTGCGATTAACTTCTCTCATGTATTCATCAGTCTTGGGCGGGCAGATCTCCACTCCGCACCAAGCTTAGCCATGAGAGATGTATCGTGTAGCTATCGCTAGGCTTGCAATGACGTAGGGTCTCCATAGCTGCATACGCATGAGCTTTCCGACATTCAAAATTGCTCATCTGAAGATGCTATCTAATGTGGCACAGTCTATACCAGCTCAGCGCGTGGCTGCAGAGACCTTCAGTAAAACCAGCTGTGTCATGACATCTGGGCTGCATGCACTGCCCCGCGATGAGATGCGCGCAAGTCAAAACGTGGGGGCATCGTGGAGCTGAGAACTATCCGGTGAACCGCAAGGGACGGCTGCGCGATAACCGCAATATGGGTACTCTACGATGGAGGGGCAGGTACGACGTTGGTTCGTCGTTCGCTAGCCTATTAGCCGCCGTGGTGCGTTGTCACCACATCACTAAGCCGGGGGCTTGCATACAAAGGCAACGCCGTACATCGAGGCGTAAGGCTGGTCTTAGCGTCATGTGAGGCTATGCATGAACCTGTAGTTCCCATCCCAGGATAGTTCCTTACAAAGCGGTTGCCTTGTCGCCTTGTCGGCTATGCTACAGCATCCACTCCAGGAATGAGAAGCTTCCATCGCTCAACTTGAGTGACTTGGATGACTAGAAAACAACATATCCTTTGCCCTTCATCCGTAGTTACGACGAATTAACCACAAGTATGACGAATAGAGTGGATAGCCCTCATCGCGAGGTACCTCCTCTGCCGGAATTGACGTACGAGCCTATCAACCCTCTGACGGCTATCTACTGACTTCATTGCGAAGGCCCGACGACATAATTATTGCAGTGATGGGCATAACTGGCTGCGGAAAAACTACTTTCGTGAACCTCTTCTCTGATCGCAAGCTCGAGGTTGGGCATGGACTAGACTCATGTGAGAGCTATTTTCCTCCCCCCTATGCACCGTGGACTAAGTGAACTCCAGGCACGGTATCAGTGCAAGTTGTACCTTGTACGTTCGAAGACGGCACGAAGGTCTACCTGGTCGATACCCCTGGCTTCGATGACACCTATCGGTCCGACTCCGAAATCCTGCGCGAAGTCGCGCTCTGGCTGAACAAGGCGCACACGGAGAAATTGCGACTAGCTGGAATCATCTTCCTCCAACGGATCTCAGATGTGCGAGTAGGCGGTAGCGGAATTAAGAACATAAAAATGTTCCAAAAGCTGTGTGGTGACGGCCCGCTGTCAAGCGTGGTGTTAGCGACAACAATGTGGGACATGGCCTCACCAAATGCAGCAATCGAACGCGAAAGAGAACTACAAGAACAACCACAGCTATGGAAACGAATGATAGACCACGGAAGCTGCGTATTCCGTCACGACAAAGGAAAGTCGTCAGCGATGAAGATCATCAAATACCTGATGAAGCGAAAGAAGCCCGTAACCCTCGACATACAGCGCGAAATGGTCGACCAAAACCTCGAACTAGTCGACACAGGCGCTGGAGGCGCCCTAGCATCATCCGTAGAAACGCTCATCAAGCACTACGAAAAGAAGCTAAAAGAGCTGGAACAAGATCTCAAAGAGGCCCGCGCTCAGAGCAACAAAGAAGACCGCGAGATTTTGGAAGCAGCGCAGAAACAATACCAAGACAATCTCGCGAAGCAACAGCAGGAAATGCAGAATTTACAGGTTAGTGCGGCGCAGCTGATAGAGGATACTAAGAAGCGGTTTGAAGAGAGCGAGGTGTCGGCTAGGGAGAATATGCTACGAGCTCAGGCGAATCATGCCGCAGAGCTGGAGAAGCAGAGGGTGGTGTTGCAGAGACAGTTTAAGGAGAAGTATCTGCAGATGATGCATGAGCGGGCGTGTAATGTAATGTAGCAGCGGGTAATACAATCGCGTGTATAAAAAATTGCATACGCACCTAATGAACCAAGCTAAACACTACTATACCAACAACGATGGACGTACACCAAATCACCATCACAAACCAGGACGGGCCCTCAATCACTCCCCCCTTCTTCACACTTTCTCTCTCTGCTCTTTCTCTCCATCTGGAAAACCACCATGGATGTTCACTTCTTGCGAACTCCGCCTCATAAACTTCATCAATCTCGCTGCTGCTCTCCATCTCTTCCTCACTCTCACTTTCGCTACCATCTTCCTCCAAACCGAACCTCCCTCCATCAGTAAAACACCATACTTCTACCGCCCAATTCGGTCGTACCCGGGCGTTCCAATCTCCTCCACTGATCCGCATATTCTCGTCCACGTCCCATAGCTCATGCATGATGATGCCGTCTTTCTTCAGTTCACCGAGTAGAGCATTGAGGTCAGTCCAACTGGAGTAAAGACAGTAGTCGAGTAGCTTTTCGGTTGTTATACCGTCTTCGAAACGGAAGAGGAGTATTATTGGACTTGGTGGTATTGGAGCCGCGGGATTTCTTGGCCGACTGACGTCTTGCCCCAGCAGGTGGAGACTAATACCAGAGTCGACTCGGAAAGGTGGTGCTCTGATGTCTTCTGTCTTCAACCCCTCCTCTTTGGATGGTTTCCCGACAATACACCGCGTTATCCAGTCCGCACTGGAATGATAAAACCAGTCGAGAGAAGTATTGGATTTCGATTCTGGATCTATAGCGGTAAATTCTCGATTATTACTGGTATCCTCGTTGTGATCGGCTATCCAGTTGGTAGTCGTTGCATGGCATTCTTCGTTCGCTAGGTGCATAGCGTTTCAATGAGTTCATACTCAGACGTATCATCAGAAGCAGCAGCCATCTCTTGATAACCCCCACCATAGCGCTTCCCAGCTCCGCTATCCGGATTTCAATCATGGATGAGGCTAATCGAGGAACCGCATGTCTTGAACAAAGGCTTCCATTCGCCGCTCCTACATCTCCCGCCTGATCTTGCACAAGAACTCAAAAAACATATGGGATGGGTACAAGCGCTATGTACCCCACGGGTCTTCCATATGACTAGAGACGATCAAAGGCTGATGACGGTTGACATGTAACACCAAAGCTATCTGTCCCGTAACTTGAGATGACAAACGTGGGATAGGTAGCACTAAACCCACATCTTCTATCACTTCCCGCACAGCCGGACAAAGAGACCCAGTCAACACACTGTCACGAACTGCGCTTGTCATGTTACACCCGCGGCAACGGGGAAGAAGAGGCATGGCGGCCGCCGACGGCAACGTTCTAGCCTCGACTGTCTTTGTGATCTCAGCCAACGGCTTCTTCACATGCTGACTTGACACTATGGGAGTCGAGATTGAATGAGCTCTCCGATTGACCAGTCATGTCCTGAACAAATTTGTATGTAAAAAGCAGCCTGTATGAGTTGTGTGAGCTTTTTATGGTGGTAACCATTCGATTGGAATATAAGGTCGTTCAAACTAAATCTTAACTACATCGCTTCGTCTAAAAACGACCGTGACCGTTGAGCACATAACCAGCATCAACGCAAACATCAAGGATATCTATCATACATCGCATCGCGACGTACATCCTGAACGCCAATCGCTATCCCTAGATCATCAAAAAGAAACTCGTACAACCGAAAACATCATCATCAAATCACTCCCTCTCCTTCTCTTTCCCCTTCCCATTCCCCAGCGGACTCATCCCCGCACCACTCCCCAACCTCGCACTCCTAATACTCGTCTGTCTCGCCAAGCTCGCAGAACTTCCCTTCGATCTGACTTTCAAACTCTTGATAGAATTCGACGGGCTCGGCCGAGGCGACATTCTGGGTGTACCCCCTCTACTTCCACTACTGCTCATCTGTTCAAACCTGCCCGCCAGATCCTTCACCCTCGTCGGCGACTCCTTCCCATTATTCCCATTCCCATTATCATCCCCAGTATCCCGAGGAGGAACATCACTCAACATGCTCGCGCCATCGATATCTGCATTAACAACTCTGAGCTTGCTCTTTGGAACTGTGAACATGACTTGCACAACGCGACGCTCGACCGCGGCTTCGACGTCCCAGTCTGCTTCGCTGGCGGGGGTGCAGGGACGGTCTCTTTCGTCGCCTCTGTCGTGTGAAGGTGGTACGCCTAGTTGGTCTGGGGATATGGGTGTACGTGGGGTAGGTAATCTCTCCTCACTGTTGATGGTGACGAGGAGGTTGCTACCGCGTTCCCGCCACTCTTGACGTGCGCGTTCACGCTCGAGTATGGCAATGTCTTCGGGGGCGCCCCAGTCGTCGCCTGCGGTGCGGCGCCAGGCGGGGTCTTGTTCTTCCTCGAGCCAGTCTTGCTTGCCGCGGCGGTTGCGCCAGAAGCTTGCGTCGGAGGCGGCGCGTTGGGGTGTCGAATTTGTAGTCGCGGGAGCAGGCAGAGATTTCCTGTTGATGGAGCGGGGAGAGGGGTCGACGGGGGAGGTCGGATCGTCTCTGTAGGGCTCGTGATAGGTTGGTGCTGTTGTGAGGGAGCGCGTGCGTTCGGCGCTGGAGACGGAGCGTGTTAGTACTCTGCGGACGCTGCCTAGCCAGCTCATTCTGCGCTCTCTGGTTGCGGGACGAGGGGCGGATGATAGGTCTAGTGCGAAGGATGTTGCTGGTGTGGCTGTAGCTGCGCGACTGTTGCTGCGGTCTGAGTCGCGGTGTGTGGTTGAGCCGGATGAGCTCGTGTCGGGTCTTGGTCGCTCTGGATTTCCCCCAAGAAGTACCTCGCCTTCTGCTTGTAGACGGGAGAATGATGATTGTGCGGTGCGGAAGGAGTCGACATCCTGCTCTCCTTGCAGGCTACTGAAGGACTGCGTTCGAGGGTCTTCTGGTGAGTGTCGGCCAGCCTTGTCATGAGTAGGACTTGTATCAGGCGTCTTGAACGGGTTGGCACGCATGGCCGTGTTCAACATGGGCCCGGAACGCATGGACGCACTGCGTCCAACGCCGCCGTTAGATGAAGTCCAGGACAGCGTACTCCTCTCGCTGAGGTTCGAGCTTGTACGTTCCGAAGTAGACTTGTCAGGCGATAGTCTTCCAGCTGAATTGGTATTAACCTCGTAGCTCTGGTGTTGGGGCGATGGGGACGCCGAATGAAGGATGTTCCTGTTACGTCCAGGGGACTCCGTGAAAGGATCCAAAACTGGAGCGTTATCAAGTATTGCCGACCCAGATCTATGTCGTGTCTCTGTCATCTCCTGATGCCTGCCCGGTGTACTATTGTCGTGCGCTGACTCCTCATCAGGCTCTTCCTCCAACTCATCGATAGGATGTATGCTTCCTGGACCTCGGGGCCTGCCCATGGCGTACTGAGGTCTACCGCTCAAGTTGCGTCGCAGTCCACGCGTCGGACTTGGGACCTCGACCAATAGTCCAGTTCTTTCCACATCGCCCCGTGTGGTGGCCTTCCATCCTTGTCCACCCTGTGTACCGGCTGGGAAGTAATAAGGCCCGTTCTGATCGGTAATATAGTCCAGAGCATCTGAGTTTCCGCCGCGGCCATCGAAGCTTTGAGGGTAGTCTTCGGCATTGTATCTGTGAGTAGTGTAGGAGATCTCTTGCAGTTGCTTTTCACGGAACTCCCTTCGCTTCTTCATACGCCTTGCATACCACATGTAGAGCGCGAACACTCCACATATCGCAGCCAAACCGATACCAACACCGACACCCAAGCCAGCCTTTTGTCCAGTCGTAGACAACAGGCCGCTACTGGCAGACTCTGACGGCGACTCTTTGACCGGGGGAGTATAATCCGAGATCCAGGTATTCGAGGTAACGTTGAGTAAGTATGTTTGCGTGTTGGCTGCTGGCGCGACGTCTCTTCGCTGTGTGCCGGATGATGGGATTGAATAGCCTCCGGTAATCATCAATACGCCTCCTGGGAGCATGGCCGCTCCATGGCCATAGAGACCACCGTCGTTCGGCAGCCCGGTACCAGTAGTGGATGGAACTACCCACTCCCAGTCACCAGCACCACCATAGCCATCTGCAACGCTGAGTATAGCGAACTGGGGGTCTGCCGGTGTATTGATATCGCCCACCCAACCTCCGACTATAATGATCTGCTGGCCATCCGGACTCAGCACAGCGGTATGACCGGAACGAGGATCGATCGAGGTGACGTCTGCTCGAATAGCTAGGTCTGTACGGGAAGTGTCGGGTTGGTCGACGCCGATGAAGGTCCAGCCCTGTTCCGGAAGGGAGAAGAGCGCAATCTGCGACATGTTGATGAAGGCAGCACTGGTGTGGCCTCCAATGAGGACAAAGTTCTGCTGTTGTATCTGCGTTCCATCGCTTCGGTCGGAGAAGGTTGGCGAAAGACCCGTGATGGTGAACCCAGCTTCGGGTATAGGCGGTCCGCGACTGGACGAGACGTCGATGTCGTAGTTGAGTGGCTTGCTCGTATCCTCCGAAGGCTGTACGGTGACCATGAAGTTTGAGTAGTTGGCCGCAGACTGCCAGTCGCTCGCAGTATCATTTTGATCAGGGCACATGCCACCGAAGAAGTATGCGCCGGTATTCGCAGCCTTCCCTCCCACGATAGACGAGAAGGTCATGCCCCCGCTGAGGTAGTTCGCGCCCATAATGGACGTATGTGAACTGTCGACCACCGAAACATCCTGCTTGCTCCAACTGCCCTTGACGACATTCTCTGAGGTATCCGGTACAAAACTCCACAGCTCTCCACCACTCGCACCCAGAGTGCAGTCGCCAGTGTACACCGTCAGATTGCCGTCGTGGTCGAGCACCGGGGTGAAGGCGCGCGGGGCATTGTCGTCGAGGAAGGGCAGCGTAGCGTACAGTGTGTTGTAGGGCAGGTTCGACGCTTTGACCTGGGACGATAGATCGATGGTGCTCAGGGCGAATTGCGTAGACGATTGCGACGACGGGCGAAAGACGTAGAGGGTATTATTGTTGTGGAGGAGGCGTGTCGGGTTGTATGGCATCTGGGCTGCGACGGCAGACAGCAGTAGCGACGTCGACAGGAGTGGCAGCCATTGCATCCGAAGTTCGATAGGCAGCCTTAGTGATGTCGACATAGTGGTGGTATGATGCGCGAGGACCTTCACCTCGAATGCTGGAGATGACGTCCCATGAAGCACGACTCTGAGGATGCGGGACAGCGTAACACGGACTGTGGAAAGCGACAGTACTGTACAAGTGGAGATGAAGGTGCGCAGACGCAAACCAGACAGTGGGCTGAGATCTGCGGGCCATGCACGGGACCGTCTAGAGTCGAGATGGCTGGCGTTCGGGGTTCGTTGCAGGGGCCGCACGGTTTGTTTACGCGACCGCGTAACCTTGGAACAGGATCTTCTACCTTGCAACTTTAGGCTAGAAGAGCTGCAGCGCCCTATGCAACACAGCTGTATGCTCTTCCAACTATACTGCACATCAACACGCAGACACACATACACACAGATAGATGAGACCTCCACCACCTCCCCTCCGCCTCCCCTCCTCCTCCCCCACCCACCCAGTGGGCTCAGATCTGCGGTTCATGCACGGGACCGTCAAGCGTCGAGGTGGCTGGTCTGTCAACAGAGGCCCAGCTCGCAAAGCTCTCGACCCAGCCGCGTAGGACTCGACTAAAGTTGCGTAACGTACTATTCTAGCGTGTATATCTCGGTGGGAGGCGTCCATCGGTCCAATCAGTATTGCATGCCACGATCGGGAGCCGTTCCGAACGCGTCTGGGCCTGATTTGCCCTGATTTACGCACGCCAAGCTGGTTAGTAAACAGGGTCGTTCGGGGCAACGGCTTTTCGTGGCGCCACCAATCCTTGCATGTGAAGACATAGGCATCGCCAACGTCGGGCTTGGGAGACGGAAGAGTTTCTCAATACACACGCAGGCACAGAGAAAGATCGATAGGAAGCGATGGGAGACGTCCACCACCGCCCCTCCGCCTCCCCCACCCACCCGACGGCTTTTCGTGGCGTGCGCGCATCATAGCATGTGAAGATATAGCCCGTTAACGACGTCCGATTATAAGCCGTCGCCATCGTCCGATTAAGCAGCTGGTATTGTTTTTGACAAAGATGCCGTCGTCGGAGAAACAGTCGCCATCGCGAATCTATTGCGCAACATTACTGCGTAGCTCAAGAGTCGAGATGGAAGAGAGGAGGTTGGTAGAAGGTCGGCGGTATGACAGCACCGTCAGCACGAGCGCAGCGCAGCCCCCACCTTCCAAGGTTGCGCCTACCGTTTCCACGCGTAAAAGTCGATGACACTACCTTTCCATCCGCTTTTGTTTCAGATACACGACCCACGACGCATCAGCTGAGATCTATTGACTTTTCGGGCCTTTCGTTGTCGAGAAGGTTTTCGCGTGCTGGGTACGCGTCGATATACCACAACCCCTCACCCATCATCGTCTTTGTTGGACGGTGTGATTGAGAGAGGCTTGCATTGCCACGATCTGAAGTATTTACTTAGCAGCATCGTGCTTCTATTCAAGTATTAGCTCATTCGTCAAAGCAGTCGTCGTTTGCGCTATCGCTTGATAGGAAGTTTCTTCCATTGCTTATGCTGTTAGTATTATAAACGTGGTAAGAAGCTTAATGCGCTTTATCGGGAAGGCATTATGAGGTCCATGTAATATTATAAGTTAACAATAGAACCACAAACTGGAAATAGACGCAATACGGCGATAAATGATATGTGGAAGTTGTCCCGAGCAGCGAACAAAGGTCCTAAAAATGGCTCCTGGCAGGTAGAAGAAGAGGATGAAGACCAATATATAGGTGAGACGATCGGGAAGATACAGAACATCACGAACTCTTTACACGTGAACAATACGTTCATCACACACATCAAGTACTTGGTTGTAGAGCGACACTGACATATTCTCATTCAGCTCATCCAAGATCAAGATGAGATCGTCTACTCTACACCGACAGAGCTCTTGCTCCATTCCATGCTATCTCACCTCCCTGCGACAATCGTCGCACACATGATCCCCATGGAAATCAAAACGCCAAAGCCAGCCCATTCGCTGCTTGTGATGAACGCCGATGTTGAGATGCGTCCATGCACACACCTCTCTTCAATCCTTTTTGCACCGCCAAACGACCCATGATGCAGGTTGAACTTTTGGGTATCATAACTAGTCATTACACACATTACAAAGCGGCATGTTGATATGCTGCTTGAACTGACCCCGTTGATGAAACGAGGTCAAAGAGGATATGCCAAATGGCAAAGAGCCTAAGAAGAGTACTTCTCGCGGTAGAACTTGGCTGCGTTGACAAGGTTGACAAGCGCTGCCTTAGTCTCCTTCCACTGGCGGGTCTTGAGACCGCAGTCGGGGTTGACCCAGAGCTGCTCAGGCTTGAGGTAGGTGAGCATCTCGGCGAGACGGTCCTTGATCTCCTGCTCGGAGGGGATACGAGGGGAGTGGATGTCGTAGACACCGGGGCCAATGTGGCGGGGGTAGGCCTTGTCCTCAAAGACCTTGAGGAGCTTGGCGTCGCTCTTGCTGTTCTCGATGGAGAGGACGTCAGCATCGAGCGCGGCAATGGCGTGGAAGAAGTCCTGGAACTCGGAGTAGCAGAAGTGGGAGTGGATCTGGGTAGAGTCCTGGACACCAGCGCAGGCGAGCTTGAAGGAGTCGACAGCCCATGAGAGGTACTTCTCGCGCTCAGTGCCGGCACGGAGAGGAAGACCCTCACGGAGAGCGGGCTCGTCGACTTGGATAACGTAGATGCCAGCAGACTCAAGGTCAACAACCTCGTCGCGGAGGGCGAGAGCAAGTTGCTGGGCCTGGACAGACTGGTGGACATCGTCACGGGGGAAGGACCATCGGAGGCAGGTGATGGGTCCAGTAAGCATACCCTTCATGGGCTTCTTGGAGATGGAGGCGGCGTACTTGGACTCCTTGACGGTCATGGGAGCAGGGCGCGAGATGTCACCGACGATGATCGGGGGACGGACGCAGCGGGATCCGTAGGACTGGACCCAACCCTTGGTGGTGAAGGCATAACCGTCAAGGCGCTCACCGAAGTACTGCACCATGTCGTTACGCTCGGGCTCACCGTGGACGTAGACGTCGAGGCCAAGCTCGTCCTGGATCTTGACGACCTCCTCAATCTCCTTCTCGATGAACTTCTCGTACTCCTCGGGTGTGATCTCACCCTTGGTGAACTTGTTACGTGAGATACGGATCTCCTTGGTCTGGGGGAAAGATCCGATGGTGGTGGTAGGGAACATGGGAAGGTTGAGGTGCTTCTTCTGCTGAGCGTAACGCTCGGGGAAGCCAGACTTGCGCTCGTGCTGCTCAGGGGTGACGCTGGCCTGGCGGTCCTTGACAGCCTTGTTGTTGGTGCGCTCAGATGAGGCACGAGCCTGCATCGACTTGGCGTTGGCCTCAAGAGCCTCACGGACGGATGCTGGGCCATCGTTGACAGCCTTGGCGATGACAACGACCTCGGAGACCTTCTGGCAAGCGAAGGAGAACCAGTCCTTGACCTCCTCGGGCAGCTTCTTCTCGCTGTCGAGAGAGTGGGGAGTGTGGAGAAGGGAGCTGGAGGTGGCAACGAGGACACGGTCCTTGCCGAGCTTCTGGACAGCAGTCTCAACAATCTCGATGGCGTTCTTGAAGTTGGTCTTCCAGATGTTGCGACCGTCGACGACACCGACGGACAGAACCTGGTTGGAGCCAAGCTTGCCGATGACGCTCTCGAGCTGCTCAGGGTTCCTGACAAGGTCGATGTGGATACCAGCAACACCCTGGAGGCTGGGCAAGACCTCGAAGTTGTGGACGATGTCACCGAAGTAGGTGGCGAGGACAAGCTTGGGCAGACCGCTGCCGACGAGCTTCTCGTATGCGGGCTTGAAGGCATCCTTGACCTTCTGGGGGAGGTCGTAGACGAGGACAGGCTCGTCAATCTGGACGTACTCGGCACCAGCCTCCTTCAGCTTCTGGAGGAGCTCGACGTATACCGGCAGCAGCTTCTCGAGAAGGGTGATGGGATCGACGGACTGGCCACGGTCGGCCTTGCCGAGAGCGAGGAAGGAGACAGGTCCGATGAGGACGGGGCGGGTGGTGATGCCAGCCTCCTTGGCCTCGAGGAACTCAGCGACGGGCTTGGGGTTCTCGGCGAGGGTGAAGGTCTGGTTGTCTTGGAGGGTGGGCTTGACGTAGTGGTAGTTTGAGTCGAACCACTTGACCATCTCCTGTAGTGGGGTTAGATGATGTTGATAACTCCCGAACTTTCGGGACTTACCAGCGAGGGGACGTCGACACCGTCCTTCTGGTGGCCACGGCCCATGGCGAAGTACTCATCGAGCTTGTGCAGCGAGTGCTTGGAGTAGCGCTCCGGGATAGCCTAGTCCTGTTAATCGACTGCAGCGGGCATTGGATGACGTGTGCTTACGTTGAAGAGCTGGATGTGGTCGAGGAGGTGGTCGTAGAAGGCGAAGTCGTTGCTGGGAATGACATCGACGCCGGCGTCCTTCTGGATCTTCCAGTGCTCCAACCGCAGACGCTTGCCCTCCTTGATCAGGTCGTCGCGCGAGAGCTTGTCCGCCCAGTAGGCCTCGTTGGCCTTCTTGAGCTCACGGTCCGCACCCATGCGGGGGAAACCGAGTACTGAAGAGTGTACCATTGTGATGTGATTGTCCAATGCGGACAACTGTGATAATTGGGGGGATGGGTAGGATGTGGTAGAGGGGAGGGGGAAGAGGGTGAGGGAGGAAGGTGGGATGTAGGAGGGAGAGTGGTAGCGGATGGTGTGCTTTATGTTTTTTGCTGGCGTATGCAGCAACGTCGCGGGGTTGGCGCCTACGTGGCTCCGATTCGACGGTGCACTCACCGCCCTCAACTTTATTCTGCAACGGCGAGAACAATGCGCCGTTCGTCAGGGCTTCCCTCAATCTACGCAGTGTGGAGCGATTATCTTGGACTATCCTGCTGCTTTAGCGCTCCCATGCCCACAGCTATCGCGCACTAGCTCTGCTAATGCTAACTTTTGCCCAAAGCGACATCGGCGGAGGGGCGCTCGGAGCCTTGGCGGTGACGAGCTTGCGCAACTTCAAGCGTGTCCGGTGAGAACTCGGATGTTTCCACAGCACAGGGACGAGGCACCCTGTAAAGATTCACGCAGGAACGATCCCTTCTCGACTGGGTGTTGCGTATTGGCCATGGCTAACACGTCGTCCATGACAGCATGAATCAGCTCCGCGCCAGCTCTTAGCGGGTTCTGCATCTCAACAGGCATCTTCTGGGTTAGCTCAGACCCTGAAGATCATCGACATCGGGACAATGCCATCAACTCGTCTCGAGCAGAACACCAAGGCGGCATGCGAGTCAGGTGTCGTCGGTGGTTTGTACTGCAGCTCTTCTCACGATGGTCGGTAAATGTCCGAGCGAAGGGTTCACGACGAGGCGGCGGAACCACCGAGTACTTGCCTTATTTAGCTGTCTCCACAACCCCGCATCGTGTATAAAACCCCGCCATCAACAAGCCAAGTAGACGATAACAAGCGCAACAACCCCCCGAGCCAGTGAAACACACACGGATAATATTCACACGCATATCACAATGGCTTCAAGACCGACTCACACCCGAACCGCCTCCACAAACCTGGCCGGCGGCTCAGGCCAGCGCGTGTTGGAAGGAAGGAATGCCATCATCACAGGAGCATCAAGGGGTATTCAAACCACATACCCAAACTACATCCAATTCTAACACCCCCAGGCATCGGCGTAGAAATCGCCCGCAACCTCGCCAGCAAAGGCTGCAACGTTGTCATAAACTACACCTCCGACTCCTCGTCCAAGACCGCCGAAGACCTCGCCTCAGAACTCTCCGCCGAATACGGCATAAAAGCCATCAGCGTACAAGCGAGCATGGGCTCAGAAAACGGCCCCGCCCACCTCGTCGAAGTAACCAAGAACAACTTCCAGCACCCCAAGACGGGCAAGTTCCAACTCGACATCATCATCAACAACGCGGGCGTCGCGGGCAACAACTACGTCGAGAACGTTGATTGTGAGGACTTTGCTAGACAGTTCAATATCAATGTACGGGGGCCGTTGTTGCTGGTGAAGGCGGCGACGCAGTATCTGCCGAATGATCGATCGGGTCGTATCGTCAACCTCAGCTCTGTGAGTTCGAGCCTGGGATACAAAGGCCAGTCTATCTACGGTGGCACAAAGGCAGCGCTGGAGAGCATGACACGGACGTGGTCAAGAGAGTTGGCGGAGCGCTGCACGGTTAATGCGATTAACCCTGGTCCTGTTGCTACGGATATGTACTGGAGTAATGACGACGCGTTTATTGCGCAGAACAAGCCGTTTATCGAGAATACGCCGCTTGCGGCGCCGAGGAAGGGGATTGATCCGGAGAGGATTTATGAGGCGTCGCAGGGTGCTGGTGGACGGCCGGGTTACAGTGAGGAGATTGGAGGTGTAGTGGGGATGTTGTGTTTGCCTGAGGCGGGGTGGACTACTGGAAGTGTTATTTGCGCGAATGGGGGTATGAAGTTCAGCTTTTAGATACCTGAGCAAACGACAACGAGACGGATATGATGTCAAGAAGGATACTTTCTTCGGTCGGGATCTAATCTACCGCACACGCGTAACACTCTGCCGTACTTCCCCATTCCCACCCTCCCAAACCTCACTCTCAATAACCACACTAGACGTTTTCCTAATCACCCCATCTCCATCTTCTCTCACAACAATCCCTCGCTCAGAATCCCTATCACACATCCACCCCGCTCCCATTCTCTCCTCGCTTCCCACACTGACCCTGTCATCATCCACAGATTCGTACCCATTCGTCTTTGCAATCCGCGAACCAATCGTCTTGAGTTCGGATTCGTGCTGCGACTCATCCGCATCATGTCCTCCTGCACTACGGCTTTGTTTGGTACCGCGACTTCGGTTCCGACTACTGCGTAACGTAGATTCGCCGATGAGGTGGGGGGCGACGTGCCGGAAGAAGAGGCGCATGGTGGGGAGGCAGCCGGTTATTATTACTAGGTTCGCTTCGATGAGGCTGCAGGAGGGGTAGATTAGCGACGTAGACCTGATGAGATGTAATGCCTGCTTTGGAGATCGTGTGATGAGGCGTGGGATTGGGTGGACTTACATCCAGATACCCGGCATGACGATCGCCCATGTCTGATCGATGGTTTGGAGCATGGGGAAAAGGAGGGCGAGGCGGACGCCGCTTGTTATACACGTTCTGGCATTCCTGTTAGCTCATGCTTTTCATCTTTACCGTAGCCTCGCTCTAGTTGGAACTCACAGCGAGCCCACCCCAAATATACATATCAACCCCATCTTCTGCGCGCGCGGCATCTGCAGCCTGACCACCATCGGTACCGGTAGAACCAGCAACAAGATATCCGTAGCCATATTCAACACCGCCGTCGCCATATAAAGCGGCGTTCTGTCGATGCAGCTTCCCTCCGTGATGGCAACATCCCAGTTCCGTCGGAAAGGCGTACAAGCGAAGATGAGCGGGAAGACAAGGGCGATATTGTAGCCGACCACGAGGAACATGCTTGCATAGACACACGATTTGAACCAGCGGAGGTGTGATAGGCGGAGGTAGAAGAAGAGGAGGGAAAGTTTGGCGCTCGCGAGGAAGGGGCAGTAGATTATACTTGCTACGCTGATCAACTTGTGAGTGGTTAGTCGGGATTTTTGGGAGGGGTCGATGAGTGGTGCTTACATTCATGGTAGAGTTGACGCGGTGGCCGGTCAGTTCCCAGATGTGGACGCCGAGTGTGCCGCGGCCGTACTGGACTGCTAGGTGGTTAGATCGGTGATGGTGGAAGTGGGCCTTGCTTAACTCACAGAGGATGGGAACTTGTATTGCTATGGAGAAGCACTGTAGGTTTGGTCATTAGCACGATTTGTCGAACATGTCATCTTTTTCAAGCTGCGATGCGACGCACCCAGGCTATGAGCAGCGCTACTGTGAGTGTTGTCAGAAATTGCATATGATGTTTGTGATCTTTCACGATCTTGACCAGAGCGCATGAGCTTACTATCATCTGGTGTAAAGTTCTTCGCTAGCTGCGTCTTCGTGTAGACGCGTATAGTCATGAAGATGGCGGCGATGATCATGCCCAAGGTGCCAATCCAGAAGTTGGCAGCCTCGCCCGTTCTTTGCGGGTTGTCGACATCAACGATGTATCCAGGCGGAGCCGGAAAGATGGGCTTGTCCATGTCCATGATGCAAATATGTGGAGAAAGTGTGCGTCCTGCTGATCGGCGAAGCTGTCGTGTGTCTATATTTCAGTTCAAATTCTCGTACCCATCATCCGGGTCATCGCAATCCGTCATTTCTTGCTCTGGTCGACCGACATACTCAACATGTAACCATGTTCCATGTCACATGAAATCCTACTGTTGATTGTTATGTTCAGTCATAGCGCACAAGCAATGTCACTGTACACGCCGCATCGCTTAGGCAGTGAGGCTCACACATGCAGCAAGGGATTGGCCTGGAGCACTGCACCGCCGACCAAGAAGTTGGTCAGTATACCTGTGCCACTCCACTGCATCGGCATCATAACTCTGCATGACAATAACGGCTCAGATGTCTTCCTGTCTGGCGGAAGCTTGGGTTGAGCATAAGCATGCCAAGGATGTGGCGTTCGTTGAACTGGCCATCCCTTAGGCGTCACATCCATCAGTAAGGTTGACCGAGGTCCGCGAAGCGTCTGTTGATGGCCGTTAGAGCGACTGTGCCTCGTTCCTAGCTCTCCGCGGTCCGCTCGCCAGGGTCGCGGATGATCCCCAAATTAACTGCTTGTGCCGAGCCGTATGTAAAGTGATTTCGAACCTATGGAGAAGCATACGTTCATAGACCCCTGCAAGCCACCTTTTAGCGAACAAATCGACGGCATTGCCGCTTCGCTGCCGACGGGTGTATGGCCTTCGCGGCACAGGCCGAACGCCACTTGAGTCCAGCCCTGGAAACAATTTTGGCATCCTTCGAGCATCCAGCTTCATCTCATATGTCGAGTCATTGATGAGCAGGAATTGCGCATCCTTGTTGAGGTTAATCCCTCAAACTGTTGAGAGATGTGAGCGAGTAGAAAAGCGTGCCACAGCCTGCGTCAAGGTTTCGGCCATCGGGTGTTCCTTGTGTTATCTCTTCACCTATTGGACTGGATATCATCATGACTCGCTTGTCCCTTGCCTTACTTGTGGCAGCGGCTGTCGTCCCATTCGCACATGCTGACTATTGCGTGAGGCTGCTCCCTAGTTCCCTTCCATCCGAAACGTCTGCTAATATCTACAGTGCTCTGCTCTTGCACTCACCTCCCTAAAGAGTCGGCTGCTCTACCCTGGTCAAGACGCGTATGAGACGCGGGAAGATTCCTACTTCGATGTCAAGCAGCAGGTTATCACACCCAACTGCATCGTCCAGCCCAAGACCGCGAAAGAAGTCGCCCTTGCTCTTAAGACCCTCACGGCTGCTAGTCGACTGAAGTCGTGCAAGTTTGCGATTCGTAGTGGTGGACACACTCCATACATTGGAGCCTCCAATATCGAGAACGGCGTAACACTCGACTTGCACTATCTCAGCACCGTTGAGTATGATGCTAAGAAGGCCTTGGTCAGAGTCGGTCCTGCGGCAACGTGGAACGACGTGTACGATGCCCTGGAGCCACTGAACGCCATGACAAGTGGTGGACGCTCGTCCACAGTTGGCGTCGGTGGTCTTACGCTCGGCGGTGGAATCTCGTACTTCTCGCCGGGGCGGGGCCTGGTCTGCGACAACGTCATCGAGTTCGAGGTTGTTCTCGCTGACGGTCGTATCGTGACCGCATCCAAGACTTCGCATCCAGATCTCTTTGCTGTCCTCAAAGGCGGCAACAACAACTTCGGGATCGTTACTAGCTTCAAATTCGGCACCTTCGACTACGCCGGCATGTGGGGTGGTCTCGTCATTTACCCAGAGTCGACCATACAAGACCACTTCAAGGCCCTCATCAACTTCTCAAACAACATTGACAAGGAACCGAAGGGTTCGGCTATCGTCATGCCGGTGTACCAGAGCTCGGCGGGCGCCGATTTGATACTGAACGCGTACGACTATGCCGAGCCGGTATCAAGACCCGCGGCTTACGACGAGTTTTTGGCAATTCCTGGCAACATCTCGGACTCCACGGGTATCAGGAACATGTCATCGCTGGCAGCAGAACTCGCGGGCGCTACTACACACAGGTAAGCGAGCCTCCATTGCTCTTGACAGATGCTGATCGAAACCTAGCGTATACTTTGGCACACTGACGTTCGCGAACGATCTTCGCGTCATGACCAAAGCCCATGAGATCTACATGGATGTGCTGTCCAACCTGAAGGCCAAGGCTACGGGTGACTGGCAGATCTATGTGCTCTACCAGCCCCTTCCGCCTTCGTACTGGAGGCAGAGCGCGTCCAAGGGCGGCAACATGTTAGGGTTGGAGCGCTTTGGTGAACAGGTGCTGTGCCGTAAGTTTGACATGGATCTCTGTAACAACTGCATACTGATCAGTAACAATAGTATACCAACCCTACATCTCTTGGCAAGGTGCTGAGCAAGACGCGCTCTTTCAAGCCGCAGGCGCCGATCTCGTCAACGGAATCCGCGAGTATGCCGAGAGCATCGGTGCCGACAACCCATATCTCTACCTGAACTACGCGGACAACACGCAAGATCCCCTCGCAAGCTATGGATCCGCTTCTGTAAAGAAGATGAAGGCTGCGGCGAAGAAGTATGACCCTGCGGGTGTCTTTCAGAAGCTTGTGCCGGGTGGTTTCAAGATCTCCAATGTTCAGTAGATGAGGGTTGCCTTTCCATAGAACGAATCGATAGCAATGAATGTGTCGATGTGACAACAACATAGATATATCGTTTCGGGAAGTGATATTTCCGTTGTGAGCAACATGCCTACCGCTTTCAAATAATGTTCCCGGGTGTCAACGCCGCTGTTAGGCTGAGGTCCAAGCAAGAGACTATTACGAAATCTGATCACGCGATACAGATAACCTGAGAACGGTGCAGATGAAGATGTTGGCGAAGACCCGTTGTTGACGCGTAGCGTCATGAAGGCTGCGAGTGGAGGAAAGCAGGGTGGCAGGCAGGCGTGAAAGCCAAAGCCGGATTTCGCTTGGCGGACCCACCCAGTCGCGCTAGCCGTATCTGACGAAGGTGCACCAAGCCAGCACGCGCTCCACGGTGAAGACGCGTCCACCGATGCACTTCGAGTATCATTCGCAGTACAAGTGCACATACCCAACATAAGCTTGAGTTCAGAACGATAGAAACGTCATTGATACTTCTAGGGGCCAGCACCATCCCACCTAGGGTGCGTCGAGGCACATACTACAGTATCTACGACCATCATCAGAACAATTAACACCCAGTTACCCCAATATGCAAACTGTCCATTCTTGGCCATGAATTCAAAATAACTCTAAGAGACCTCAAAAACAACGTACCCGCAACCTCACCCATTCAAACCCTCACCCCTCCCACCCCCCTACACCCCAACCCCTCTCAGCCGCCCTAACCATCCCCTCATCCCCCGCCACCCTCCCCTCATACGTCCACCCCCTCTCCCTCACCATCCTCCTCTCACATCCCTCCCACAACCTCTCATGTTCCTCGTCCCTGCGATTCCATCCCGGCTTCCTCCACACAGGCTTCTCCCATGGGTCATCTGCGGTCCGTTTAATATAGCCTTTGGCTTCTTTCCAAACCATTAGTTCGCGCCATTCGCCGATGTGGTAGTAGTCTGAGAGCGAGGGGAGGTGCGGGAAGAGGCGAGCCCATGCTGCGCGGGGGCCTTCGTTGGGGGGTGGTGTGGTTGGTGGGAGGGGTGGGGAGGAGACGGTGGGTGTGGATGAGGAAGCGGAGGCGGCGGTGCGGAGGGCGAGGGTGCGGGCGGCGGTTTCTAGTGCGAGGGCGGAGGAGGATAGCGGGACGTTCTTGCTTCCACGCGTACGTGGAGCGGCAGCGGCAGTGGTGCGGGAAGCGGTGCGGGAAGCAGGTCTAGATGTCGAACCCGAAGCCGCATGCCCACGTGACCGCGAAGCTCCGCTTGTCTTCTTCCGTGAAAACTCTTCGTTTTGAGAGGCTTTGAATGTTTTTGTTCGCTTTCTTCGGCCTCTTTCTTCTACTTGCGCTTCTGCTTCCTGCTCTTGCGCCTCGGCGCCACTAGCCTCTATGTCATGATGTAAGACAAGAGAAACGCGTTTGCGCTTCGGACTATTCACCTTGGGGGCTTGAACTTCTTGAACTTTTTGCACCACTTGTGCATCAGCCTTACCTCTAGGCACAACCTCATTCCAAATCCTTGTTGGAATATACAGTTTAGGTGATTTCTTCTCCTTTGCTGCAATCTCTACTTCCACTTCTACTTGCACTTCTGGTGGTGGTGGTGGTGGTGAGGAAACAACCTCTTCCTGCACCTCCTCTTCTACCTCCACAACTTCATCCTCCTCATACGCACTCTCCGTCTCTTCTCCTTGATCAACCTCTCCATCAACTCCTCCATCAACTCCTCCATCAACCCCTCTATCCATCTCGCGATAAGACCACAGGTTCCTCAACAGGTTGGCGTTCATGGCTTGGACTGCAGGGGTTGTGGCTAGGGATTGGAAAGACATGGCGTGTAGGAGTCTCGTGTATGTTTTGGGAATCGACTACTGTACCGCGAGCGTGATGTATGAGCCTGGGTGTGGTGTGCAAGCGGGTTTGTAGTAGTGGTGGGTGGGTGTAGTAGGCAACTGTATGTATTGCCTGATCGTGTGTAGTAGTTGAGCCGATGTGTAGTCAGTTGAGTGTGTGATGACGGCGTGAATGTACTTGGTTTGACCGTATATAGTCAGCTGAGTGTGTTATGGCGGCTCGAATGTGAGTTGATTGATCGTATGTATCAGTCGAGCTGGTGTGTGATGTTTGAGCGTGGGTGAGGTCGAGCGAGGGTGTAGTAGTTGGCTTAGTGTTTTAGTCAGTGTGCGATGGGTAGCTCTCTGAAAATAGATTCACAGCGGGATATATCCAGCCTTATAAACAAAAACAGTGTGAGAATTTCCAACGGCCTTGACTCAATGCAATGACTGTATCCAGAGTTCGCACTCCCCAGTAGAAAAGCGCGCAGTGTGCTCGGACAAGTACTCCGAAAGCCCACCGCAGATAATCACCATGTCAAACGTGGGAACAAATCGCTAGCCCAAGGTCCTCGCCGCACGAGCCACTGTGTTGTTGTGAATTGATCGATGTTTTGGATATTGAGGCATTGCCACTGGCTGCAGAAGTGGAAGTGGGTCGCGGCTCTAATACCCGTGAGTGCATGCCTTGGGTGAGCAAATACGCGACCAATGGAAATTCGAGCATTGCACAACCAGCCTCAAGGGCGATGACAACACAACGAGAAAATGACCAACTATGACGAGTAAATGCTACGGACTGACCTATGCTAACAATAACGATACATTCGTCGCACTGGCGGACCCGAGGAGCAAATATTAGACATTACGATGTGACGCGAATCTGACCCACCTCACTGAGCCGCCACACTTTCCCGCGCTTTTCCACTGTCCATCCTGCTGAAGGACAAGATCCTTTCATGCTCTGTAGCCTCCTGCTGTTTGAACTTGGAAATCAGATCCATGGTGCTTCGCCTAACGCTGACCAAGCTCCGCTCCTCGAAAGCGCTGTCATCTTGACCCAGCGAGCCGAAGCTCCTGGCGCGGCTCCCATTGCTCATCTGACTCATCTGACTAGCGTTGCGCGTGTGTTTGCGCAGATGAGTAGGCAAAGTGCGCGATTGCACGGACACCTGCCGGCTATCGAATGAGTGCCGATTCGGACGACCAAAGTCCTCGAGAACTCGGTTCGTGTCCATACTCAGACGAGGGTATGCATCGACGCAGTTCTCGTAGTAGGTAGACCAGACACGTGCTCGATCGTTTGCGTGCTGCGCATCAGCTGCGCCATCGCCGAATGACATCTCGTTGAGATTGGGCGCAGAAGAATTGCGCCGTGGACGGAGTGTTGCCATGGAATCCTCCGCTCGTAGATTGCTCCTGGATTTAGTCGTCTTCCTCAAGGTTTCTTGCCTCAGCACTGACTGCTCATCACCTGGGATGTACGTGTCAACGTCTCTGTGAGCCTCACCCGCCCAAACATCAGGCAGGAGCTCGAGCTCAGGGTGCTCAAGAATGCCGCCGGATGCGATGGAACTGCGGTGTCCTCTACCATGCCTGCGAAACTCTGTGCTCTGACTCCTGAACATCTTGGTGTAGTTCTTCATGAGGGTCTTGCCGAACGTCATCGAGTTGCTCTTCGCTACACGACTACTGCCAACTTTCTTCTTTTTCTTTTTCTCGCCAGGCATTAGTGGAGTAGACGGTCTTCTCGCTGTGGGATCAATCAGGTCCTCGTCATCCGTTGCTGAAGCGAACTTGATCGCTGCCTCTAGTGCAAAGTCGCGAGGCTGAACGTTGTCAGCCTTTCCGGCAGAGGCGGTACGGTCATGACGCGTGTGCGAAGGGTAGCGACCCCAGGCCCCGACGACATCCGTGCTGTCGCCCTGCCGCTCAAATGCATTTGCCACTTCTTGTCCAACGCTAACATCATCACGCCCTACCATAGCACTGCGACGAGACACCATTTTGAACAGCCCCTCGGAGCGCTCTTCACCAGGTGTTTCGGCGTGGGGGTTTAATGTCGATACCCGTGTGCTAGACCCATCATCAGCTCGGCTAGCTGGATCCAGGCCTTCGACACTGATGCGTCGCACGGAAACGCTGCCGCTGCGCTCGCGGAAGGGGCTCGCATGAACAGCGAGGTCCCTGTTCTTGGGAAGATAGAGAGATGCTTTCTCGTCCTGATGCGCTTGCAAAGCGCGATCCCATACATGGTTGGCGCCTTTGTTCTTCCCGAGTGCATGTTGTTCAGCCTGCATGCTTATCAATGACCGTGACTGACGACGTCCATGATTGACAGGGAGCTCCAGCGTGTCAGACGGACCATCCACAGCGGCAAGTGCGACGGCCGAGGAGGAAGAAGCTTCAGACTGGAGATTTGCTTCACTCTGGCTACGCAGACTCAGGCGCTTTGGGTTCAAGAACTTGATGATAGATGCCGACTGTGTCATCTTCTTCTTGGGTGGAGATGGGCTGAACTCTTCTCGAAATTTGGAGGTCTTGGTATCAGCAACACTGTTCTTGCGTGCTAGCGGCGCGGGCGGTGCAAGAAGCGAAGGCTCGATCGGATGGCCAGTGACAGTTGCGAGGTTGGTAAGACCATGTCGTTTAACTGGTCTTGGTGTGTCTTCGTTGTCTGTAGGAAAGGAAGCCGAACGCCGAGGCCGTCGTATGTCGACAGACGAAATGCTAACCGGGCGATTCTCAGTATCAGTGCGCGGTAGAGTCGTCACCGATCCTCCAAAACTGTCGGGTGGGCTTTGGGGCCGACTTGAGTAGATGGAAGACGCAACATCAGGTCGGGTGTCAAGATCGTTCGGCAATACCTTACCCCATTTGCTCGGAACTTTTGTGCTGGCAAAGCCTGAACTCGATGTTTGCCGGTCATGGCGGGCTAGTTGCTTGCTTCGTGGGGAAGTTCGGCTCTGGTCTGAGACAGTGCGTTCACGGAATGCGCGAGGCGGAGTTGGAAGCTCTGGTGCATCGGCAAGTTGCTCCCATGAGAGAAGAGACCCGGAGCGTAGATGATGTGAGATGCGCATGCTATAAAGATGGACAGACCGACGTGGGTTGTCATCATCGTCATTGTCCTCGCTGTTGTGTGCCTGTCCTCGTGCTTTACGCGGTGAGTCTCCACGGAGAGTGCCTCTGATGGATGTAGACGGCCTTGGAGTTGCAGTGGAAGTCGGCTGTTGAACGCGGATCTCAATGAGGCGAGCAGAAGGAGAAGCAGTCGACCCAAGAGCTCGGTACGACGATACCGAAGCGGAGCTACTTTGTTTCTGGTGTCGCTTGTGGCCGTCATTGTTGAGGGTGGTTATAGATGCCTGTGGACTGATATGGCGCGGAGGCACAGGAAACTGCGAAAGACGGAGACTCTTGTGCATTATCTCAGACCATGGTATGCCAGCTGAGTCGTGGTCGGTAAGGCTTGGTAGTCGTAATGGTGAGAGGGGTGAAGGCTTCGGCAAGCCCATGGATGTAGCTGAATGCGAGCGTCTCACTCTGTTGTCCTTTCCACCAGGTGTATCCGATCGCAGATTGGGCGTGCTGAACACTTGACTGAACCGGTGGGAGAAAGGTCCGGCCTGTGGCTTGTTGATACTGTACGGAGGGAGATCGTCGTTGAGGTCGCCGCTGGTGCGGCCGTTTCTTGTGGAGTCTGGTGTTGTTTTGCTGGTGACTGTCAGTATGGCGTGATGAAGAGCTCGCAACATCTAACCTTCCGGTTGTGGTGGTCCAGTCGACGCTATGGATGCTCGGTCGCTTGATAGGTGATTTCTTGCCGATGTTGTTTGCAATTTCGTCAAGTGCCTCAGCATCTGAATCATAACCGCCCTCATCAGGCTTCTTGTCGCTGAGTAGATCCTTGCGTAGGTCATCTTTGGTAATCTGAAGCTGCTGATTCGTTCCGTCTTTCAGCTGCTTGACGACAGTGCCGGCAGCTGGAGTAATGTGCCTTGGTCTCGGTTGCAGATGTGGTGATGAAACGGTTGGGGCTTTCTTAGGGAGCTCCTTCGAAAACTTGCGTCTGATCAGTGAACGCATACTCGTCATCTTGTGTAGACTGCGGATGCTATGCATCGAAGGACGGCTGAAGCGTGCACGAAGCGTTCGCATTGGCATGGCCCGGTCCTCGTTGGAGTCGCGGGCGTTGTGGAAGATCTCATGCAGCTCATGGAGGTCTTCCGAACGGGCACTCGTGAAGCGTGAATTGGGTGAGCTAGCATCTTTGGGTAGAAGTGGCCTGTTCACCGGTGTAGGCTGACTGACGCGGGCGTTGGGTAGCTCGGGCGAATCTGAACGATCGTCCTGCTCGGCCGTACAGCACAGCTTGGTCGCCATGATGGCGAGGTGGTGAAGGAAGGATGAGTGGGTGGCTGCACATGGAAAGTTGCTGGTTTGTTGATGGCTGCGTCAGTGCACGTGGAGTGCTTGCCCAAGGCCGGAAGCCGGGAAAGAGGGATGGAAACAGGACAGCTTTCCGATGCCAACATGAGCTTATGGAAGTGCCAACGGTTGCAGAAGACATGGTAGCGTATAGGGAAGTAGTTTCGATGACGAAGACAAACCACTATGGCGTGAGATGCTGGAAGGGTAAGGCAGCGGCGGCTGCATCTATGTTGTGGCCTCATGTGGTGTGGAAGGAGCGTGTCATATGCCGTTCATGGCGACTTCCCAATGCAGTGGTTATCCAAACATACAACACAAATCTGACACAGCCGAAGTGGCTTTTGGTCGCGATATGCATGCCCTCTGGTGTTGCGTCTGAGAGACTCGAATATGCATCACTGTTGCACATGCCATGCACGTGGTTGTATTTCAGCCCATCATCTTTTTGCCGCTAGCATCCTCGCTGTATAGGCCCTGGTCTTTGATCCAAGCGGCGACGCCTTCAGTACACAGCTTGCCCACTATGTCCCAATCACCTGCGTTGGCTGCCTTCCTCACTCTGG